GGCGAGACATGAAATTTGATCTCCATGAATTGGCCTTTACCAAACAAGCACGAAATATAATTATCACGAGATTGTACAAATTATACATTGTGAAGACATAACATTACCTTATTCTTGACGTATCTGACAAGTTTGTTTTAACTATGTAATCCATCCATTGGACGGAATATATTTTCCTCTTTCGCTAAAAGCTAAAACTGAAGTGGAGGACAATTTAAGAAGATAATTACCTCTCTGGCGATTCATTATCATCCAGTAAACGATATGCCCTTGAATGAAGGATCGATACATCTTAATTAATAATAGAAACTAAATTCTTGTCTATCGATCGAAATCTCGTGTGAATGATAATGGGTCTTTCAAGAGAAGGCAATGTTTTGCTCTTTAACTTTGTAATGAATAGGCCATTATGTGCTTGTAAATTAATGATCGCACAGAAAAAGTATAGATTTAATCATAAATCACACTTCTAAAGTGCGCTTTCGTCGTTATAAAAATGTTCTCTTAGCCACAGTTTAAATCCGTAGTTGCCATCATTTCCTTACAAAAAATTGAACATACCGATTTTAAAAGCTTTAAAAGTTAAAGTACATGACAGCACGTCTACAAACATAAAATACATACTTTTACTTAGTAAATGCCCCCTAAAAATAATTACTTAATGCCCGTAAATAATCCTTCTCATAAAAAAAATGTTTCACTTAAAACAAAATCAATATTTATATTGCCATAAGGGACATTAATGTAAAACCAAATTGAATAAACCAAACCCAATAATGGCACTATGTTAAGTAAGGATCAAGTTGTGGTGTGACTTCTAATAATACTGGACATTTAATATTCTCACAAAACCTTTGACTTTCTCAATATCTCACAAATGCTGATTGTCCAACATATTAACCCTGCGCCCGCCAAGACTAATTATGAGTCCATTGTATTGAGGTAATTATCTATCTCGCCAAAATTATTGATTTTCACAGTATATAGGCCCAAAAGTACGCATTTCGTCTATACTGCATCAGGAGAGGCATAAGTCTTCTCTTTAATCATAGCAGCCATAAAGACAGTCTTTACAGCAATGAACTGCTCTGTCTAATTGGCGAAAGGTGTCGGTCCCCTATATCCTTCACAAAAACCAATCAGACTGCGCATGCGCTTTAATGGCTGGTCTGTCGATACGGGACGACGACCACGAGGGTTCTAATTAAAGTAAAGTCTGTCCAATTGTAGTTGGTGAAATTTGTCCGATCAATTCGGTCGTTCATATACAATTATAACGTTCTGAAGTGTCAAACCGCCATAGCATGCAGAACTAAGTCTGTTCCAGTTAATCGAAAAATGTCTGACCTTCATATTTCATGTTTGGCTGGTTTTCATTTGGATCAGCTTAATCAATTAAGGACAAGCGGACACAACTTGGTTTCTTAAAGTCAAAACTGCAATATTTATGAAGAGCCAACTGTATATGAAATATAGGAAGCACGAATAGCTAAACTTTTGTTAACAAACGAGAAGAAACATTTTCACTTTATACAGGTATGTTGAATACAAAACTAAAGCTAGTCAAAGTTAGATTTATACCTTACCGGTGTAAAAAGCAATTAAGGTGTTAGATACGAAACCGGATGCTAAATGTTAGACTTCATAACAAACTCGCACTTTTGTAAGGTACATGTGAATCTAAGATAACAAATAACGGGTCATTTAAAGTATGTTTGCTAAAGTGCATATCATATATTTATAGTTTGTTTTAAGTACGAAAGCTTATTAATCTCAAAAGTACAAAGATGAAACACCGCATGGACTCAAACCCGATTCTGTTGCTTGAGGAGCTTTTGTATTCAAAAATATCAAATATATCTTCATCCAAACTACTCAATCTTTCGAACCTAAAATTAAGGTAAAATCACAGAACTTTAAAGTCAACTACACTAAAACAGCAGAGAAAATCACATCTGTTATTGGATAGTAAAGTATAGAAGTGGTACAGTGTAATATTCTACTTATATTAGCCATTCCAGAATATGAGGGTGATTTTTCCATTGTATTGATACAGAGAGAGTAAATTGGTTCTATGTTTCGTATGTTCCTTACTTGAAGTTGACACTAGCTAAATTTCAAAACACTATCTATGTCGTAATTTATGTGACCGATATTATGGCAAATTGACATCTCAGAACGAAACATGTTCTCAATATTTTCAAGAATAAAAGAAAGATTTTTTCTTACGGGTAACTAAACATCATGGCAATATTGATACACTGAGATACGATGTATATATTTGAATTTTTGAAATTTTATTCAATGAACGCACATTGTCTGCATTAAATCATCAATAAAACAATAATATTAAAGTGATTCGTATCTGTAACAGATACCTGCTTACAGCGAAACAACATATTTGCGCATATTACAATACATTTGATTATTTTAGACAATGTTTAATAATACCATCATCAAAATCCGACCTAAAATTAAAGTCTTGACTTGCTGTATTTATGAGACTAGTAATTCCATTCCTGAATTGTTTCTCTCATAAGTCAATATATTAAGTCTCAGTAATAAATAAATATATGCCAGTATCAAAAAGCAGCCAGAAAAAAACCAACACGTCAACATAATCATAATCCAAACTCAAATTCAATAAAACTTTGGCAAAATATTAACTTAATGAAAGCTATACACGGAGACTCCTTCAAAAAAGTACAGAAGTAAGAATAAATTTTCCGGAAGAGTAAGCGTTTTCAGCTTCTTCGACGGCACTCTTCATGATAATCTTGGTCAATCCAAGTAAGTAATATCAAGTGCTTTAATTAGAACAAGAGATCCCAGAGGGATCTTGGTGCCCACCATTTGAGGATCTGTTTTCAGTTCTTGAAGATTTGTTTATTTTTTTTTTTTTTTGTTACAGGTGTTGTAAATGTTCATGAACTGGTCTTCATTGAATGTACTCAATGATGGCACAAGATATTTTTATTAAGCACCTATTAGCAAATATCATTTGGAAAAGATCCCAAAGTATTATTAGATAGCAGTCAGTTACAGGTGGATAATGGACAATATGCTTGTGCTGTATTACTGCCTGTGGGCCACCTTGATTTCAAATCAGTCCAAAAAAGGTACAATGCACAACTAGGGACCAAGGGAAACCAATATCTATGAAATATCAGAAGGATCCATCCAGTACTTCCTCAGATATAGCAGTAACAAGATTTTACTCTCAAAATCCAAGGTGGCTGCCTGTCAGCCATCTTGATTTCTGATCAGTCCAAAAAGGTATAATGCACAACTTGGAACCAAAGGGAACCTGCATATGAAATTTGAGGAAGATCCACCCAGTACTTTCCAAGAAATAGCAGTAACAAACGTTTACATTCAAAATCCGAGATGGCCACCTGTCTGCCATCTTGAATTCGAATCAGTCCAAAAAAGGTACAATGCACAACTAGGGACCAAGGGGAATCTGCATATGAAGTTTGAGAAAGATCCATCCAGTACTTTTCCAGAAATAGCGGTAATAAACTTTTACTTCAAAAATCCAAGATGGCTACCTGTCGGCCATCTTGAATGCGAATCAGCTGAAAAAAAGGTTCAATGCACAACTAGGGACCAAGGGGAACCTGCATATGAAATTTGAGAAAGATCCATCCAGTACTTTTCCAGAAATAGCGGTAACAAACGTTTACTTCCAAAATCCAAGATGATCACCTGTCGGCCATCTTGAATGCGAATCAGTTCAAAAAAGGTACAATGCACAACTAGGGACCAAGGGGAACCTGCATATGAAGTTTGAGAAAGATCCATCCAGTACTTTTCCAGAAATAGCGGTAATAAACTTTTACTTCAAAAATCCAAGATGGCCACCTGTCGGCCATCTTGAATGCGAATCAGCTGAAAAAAGGTTCAATGCACAACTAGGGACCAAGGGGAACCTGCATATGAAATTTGAGAAAGATCCATCCCGTACTTTTCCAGAAAAAGCGGTAACAATAATTGTTTACGGACGGACGGACGACGGACGGACGGACCACGGACCACGGACGCAGGGCGATTTGAATAACCCACCATCTATTAGATGGTGGGCTAACAAGGTATGTAACCACGGAAAAAACAGACAAACTAATGAGCATCAAATACGTCCAGCTTCTTGCCGCTTAAAGAAGTAGAACATTTCTCAATGAGATCACTATGACGATCGTAAATCTCAAACTTTTCCTCAACGCATCAATGCATTCTACATCTCTTGTATTCACATGTTGTTTCACTTCTTGGGTCCAGAGAAAACAAGTTACATCTAAATGCAATTTTATAACAAACCTTAATTTGCTTATTTAGACCATAATGAAGTTAAAATAATGAAATTATTTTTTGCAAGAGAGTACAAAAATGCGTTTCTTCACTATTCATTTACATCAATAGGGAAATAAATTTGACTTATTGCAGTCAACAAAATTGAATGAAGTGTAAAAAACAAAAGAAAACAAACAAAACATCTTACGGAAAAAACAAAACAAAATAAATGAATAAATAAACCAAATACAGGATTTTTTTTTCTAAAATAGCAATGATGTAGTATTCGTGAACAAGACCATTGTAGCCCAAGGGTATGTTCTTATATCTTCCAAAAATAAATGAAGCACACACACACACACACACACACACACACACACACACTCTCTCTCTCTCTCTCTCTCTCTCTCTCTCTCTCTCTCTCTCTCTCTCTCTCTCTCTCTCTCTCTCTCTCTCTCTCTCTCTCTCTCTCTTACTGATATGAGGAATGTTACTCTCATGTATATGTTAAGGTGTCACTGATGCTATTTTTATATCAAATGAGTTAAACATATATTCATTTCAATTTTATTGTGCATTGACATATGTAAATATAGCTAGCAGATTGTTTCAATTAATAATAATTAATTAAAATCGAAAGTATTTTCAATCACAAGAAATGTGTATTACGTTTTACATAATCGTCTTAATATCATGCTCTCCAATAAGGTTTATAACTGTACGCCGTTCTCTAACACAAGTCCTTTTGATGTGCAACGCCCTAATGAAAGCAAAAGTCGATTGGCAGCTTGTCTTTCTAATTCCTTTTCTTCGGCCGTCTGTCTTCTGAAAACACACAAACATCATTTTAGACATAATGACTGATAACACATAGCATGGCTCATGTAGTGTAAGATAAATGTTAACATCATTTAGTAACATGTATACATGTATTCAGGTGTGATTGTTGAATCAAACTTCATTCAAAGTTATCTAAACAAAAACCATAAAGTTATCCCGATTACCAATAATGGCATTCAACCAAGGACGATTTGTTTAAAATTCAGACTTTGTCTCAAATAAGATTTGAAAATATGTTTCGATTCAATGTTTTGTTGTCCATTTCAATATAATGAAATCGGACTAGAGGCTCCAGTAACAGACCATCTGTAGGTCCCAGAGAAATGCAATTTCTAAACTCAATGCTTAATACGTCTTCAAAGTAAAGAGATTTGAGGGAAACGGAAGCAAAACTACATTTATATAAACGCTGTGGGATAACTCCTTACCTCCATTTTGTGCGTCTGTTTTGGAACCACGTTTTCACCTGAGAATCCGACATTTTGAGAGATTTAGCGATAGAAGATCGCTCGGACGAAGCCAAATATTTTTGCTGTTCAAATCGCCTCTCCAGCTCCATAATTTGTAGTCTTGTGAATGATGTCCTAGGTTTCTTCCGTTTTGGGGGTGTTCTGTTTTGGTAGGGATGACCTATCCTCCTGACTGGGTAGGAAGATAATGGATTACAATTACAATGAATTAATTATAAAAAAATTCTTCTCGTTGTCATAGTCGTAGTCGAAATTTGCATACCTCGAAATTTTAAACTGTTTGGCTAAAAAAAAAAGAAGGATCACGAACCAAGAAGTATGATAATTGTGACAATTGGACATTCTCGCATTAATCCAATGATTAAAGTACTAATAAAAGTGTGCATTTTGGAAGGCTTGCAAAGAAGGCAATACGGTAGAGCCAAAGGATAAATCAAACTGCACCATACAGCAGTTTCGTCCATCCTGAACTAGTGCTAGAGGCCTTAAGTGTTTAAACCTATAAGCCTGTTGGGGAAATTCAACATTAGATGAAGTAGATGCAACATCTTGCTGGAAAGTTCCCTTCATCCTCGAGAATATGATTTATGACCATACAAATAATACGAAATTATCTCGGTCGCCTTCTAGGCTTCAAAATGTATGCTCCCAGCAAAACTGAGTCCTTGATGGACGAAACATCTGTATGATGCAGTTTAAATAATTGTTCAGCTCTATTCTATCTAATTCTAAATTTGTATTTAAAGGTGGTATTCACTCGCGTGTCTTTGGTATAACCTTAAGGTATAAGCTCTAACATTTTACGATTTGCTGTTATATGGCATTCCCAGTTGAATGTGTATTAACTACATCATGATGATATTTTCCCTAAATACAGCATTATTTTGTAATCAATATCGTTGATCTTATTTTAAAACTGTGATTTGACTTTCAATTTCCTTTCAAATAATGTATGAATCGATGTTTCGTTTTCAGCTTTGTATGTTTTACTGACGAAAACATGTTCCAAACGAAGTAATGAATGAATTAATATTGATTTTACGCGTAATTGAAATCATTTATCATTTGCGATCTAGCATTATATTAATCACAGGTTGTGTAAATTATAGTTATCATTTCATCTTGAAATTAATATCTTCGAATTTATACCCCACACAATGACTATTTTTTTATCTAAAAAAAAAAATAAAAACAAAAAACATGATATGTTTTCCTTTCATAAATGCACCTTATGCTGAAAAGTCTTTGATGATTAAGGGTACTTAAAATGTTTTAAGTTCGTATAATTCTTTATGATAATGTCAACATGGTCAACACTTTCTAAAAAGATTGCATTTCTTAAATAAAGGCGTAAATCTGTGAAATTATGTCACTGTTGCAGTTGCCGCCACAGTTGCGTAGGTTGAACACGTACCCTTAATGTAATCAAATAAGCTAAAAATAGTATTGTCTCCTCTGATGTACCTTAATATAATCTCATAATATAAGTTCATCTCTTATCGTGATAAATAAACTGCCTCCCTAATAAAATCTTATGATATAGGTTTATCTTCTAATACAATATAAAAAGCAGGACGTAACCTTCATATCATCTTACGAAAAAAATATCAAATAATACTATAAATTATATAAAATGTATCCTTATTGTTAACATGTGACAGAACTTTATGTCCTAATACAACAAGTAAACTAGGATATACCCTTAATATCATCTTATAATATAAGTGTATCTCTTAATATGATAAATAAACTAAGTGTTTATCATTATAACCAAATAAACTAGAATGTACCCTTAATATTATCCTATGATATAAGTGTAGCTCTTAATATGATAAATAAACTAGGATGTAAACTCAATTGTGTTTTATAACCTAAGTTCATTATCTAAGACAAGCAATGAGCTACGATCTATGCTTAATATAATTTTCATCTATTTCATCCTTCAATACCAGGAAAGCAGTACCTTAATATCACTAAAATTGACCAATTCGGTTTCCTAACTTTTCCCTATCGCCTAAAAGAGCACTATGCAACTATACTTACAATTTAATTGATGGAACGTTTTACCAAAGACTAAACATAATTTGCTTTATTATATCATTATACCAGCAACATCCTCTTCGCAAGTTCCCACTAAAGAAAATTAATTCGTTTTCGCGACAATTTTTTTCCTCTTCTTTACTTTCCTGTTCCCAACGCAGACAGTTTAATTTCAATTACAAAAAACATTTTACAAAATCTAAAAACTGTAAATTTGTGTTTAGATTTAACCTTGAAGGAAATAGCTCCATATTCAGAAAATGTTTACAAATAATTATATGACAGACACAAAGGTGAATAGCACCTTGCAGTACAAATTTAGCATTAGAAAAATTCAAGACGGATTTATTTTGTTCTTCCAGGACTCCTCTGGGATACTAGGTGTCTAAATCGTGGAATTCTAGAAGATGAATTAAGATCATTAGAATCAGGCAGAAAAACACAGGCGTTAAGGTGTAGATGGGAAGGTTCACTACTTCTATAATTCAATAAATTCGTGAAATGTCGAATGATTTAAGCGATGTCTTTCGATAATCATAAGAACGGGCTATATTTAGTTGTTGCTATTTAAATATATTTGCGTACACTTTGGTACTGTAGACGAATTATGTATTGATCGATCGCGAATGCATCTACCTCAAGACTATTTGTATAAAGCCGTTAAACGTGGATGGAATGTACATTACTGTTCAAAATTGTTTTAAAAGATCTTTAATAATCATCAGAAAATTTACCATTAATGTTAAAAAAACATATTTCAAGCATTCGGGATCGTTTAAAAACAAATATATCTGTACTGTCAAACAGAATGTAAGAGTCATATCAGCCAACAATATATAAAAAATGGAAAATTACATAGCGTGAATGTCGTGTGATAAAATAAGTGTGTTTAGCATATTTAAAAGAATAATGTTATCTAAATTGCAAGTACGCAACACATAAATGCAAGTTATTAATGCACATATTTATGTTAAAAACGTTTTTGCTATTGAAGCTAATTAGACGTAAATAAAAACAATATCGATGTTAAACGGTCCTAACTACATTTAAAATCAGCAAAAAGGGGCAACAAATATTTCCATCGTAACGCTTGGACTAGGTAAAAGGGAAATAAGACCCAAGGCTCCTAGAGAGTAAGCGTCTTCTACTTTAGCTATGGTATTCAAGGTGTAGCGTTACATTTGAGAGGAAAAAGCAATACGACTGCAAACATATTAATTTCTGTAAAATCATTAATTTTCGTGGGAGATTTATTTTGATCGAATTCGTATTTACTGTTACGAAATCGCATGTTAACAAACTATACACACGGGTTTTATTGAGCTATAGTTATCCACGAAATCAAGTTTCCATGATCAAGACCTTTCTGGAATAACCAAGAATATTTGAGTTTACCGTAGCCTAGCGAATTAAAATATCAACGGATATATTTATCGGACTTGTACACCTTAGTCTTTTAGGTCAGAAAGAGTTTAATCTAAAATCAATAAAATGTATGTATCAAAAGAGAGGCACCTAGAAATAATCAGAAAAAACGCACTAGTTGATCATGTACGAATAAGTACGATAGAATTTGATGCAAATTTATGGTACTTATACCATAACTTACGAACACAGAGAAACTTTTTTAAAGATTAGCATTATGAAACTCGTTTTATTCCTATCACAAACACAGACGTTTTAGAAAACAATATAAAATTGTTACTTGTGTAGTTCAGTAAGTAAAACGATATAAAAGTAAACAACTTAAGGATTAAATAAACATATTTAGATTTATTGATTCGTCTGCGATATATCGGAATGAGGTCCTGTTCAACATCCGAAATGACCGTAATTAATACTCCAGTCAATAAATTGCCACATTCACGAAGAGCAAATTACGGCTTATGTGATCAAACCATTTTGACATCATCTGAGAGATTAACATTTATGCAAAATGGACGTGGAGCATGTCTTTCTGCTTATGCTAAGGCAAGCTAATACTTCGTTAACTTTTTATACAATATTTTGATTTACATGTGCGCATGGGGAACATGTCATCTTTGATACACTGTTTAACTAAAATGATTTTATTTTTGCCACAGTAAGACTCTTGATATTCTTGATACACATACATTTCAATTGGTATTTTAAATTTCAGGAAACTAAGAAGTAAAGTAGTGAAAACATCTAACAAGTTATCTCGTTTGTGTACTCATATGTATGCTAAGATGTCGTCTTCTTTTTGTGAAAAATAACTATTTATTATTATTGATGAAAAGTAATAGTTGTTATACTCCAACCAAATAACAGAGGGAAATTATATATGGTGTTTCAAGTTAAATTATGAAACTTATCCTTATACATTAAGAGATCAGATTTGATTCTTTTGTACAGCTGTGACTGTATGATCGATGAGATTGCCAGTACATTTCATGAAATGTTTTGGTATTGTGTTTAGATAATTTGATGAAAATAGCTGTTTATCTTATTTCTCATCTTTATTCCTTGAAACTGATAGTAATGCTTATGATTGGTAATTATATTGTAATTAATCATTAAAACACTTACATGTGTTAAAGTTAAAACAGATAAATGTTTTTTTTTTAAATTAACTTAATATTTAAATATTCCATTAATTCGAAAATGTATTGTATAATATAGGCTGAGCTTGAAATGAATCACGATGCTTATCATCGTCAATGATTAATAAAGATACTGTTTTTATCGTTTACCACAAAACATTAACGTACATTGATTTAGTATTAGTGAAGTTATGTATTGGACTTGTATTAGATCCAAACTGATAAATTATACTAGTAAATCTAGGCACTATACGGATTACATTCCAAATAATGCGCCAACACAAAGGTTAAGGAACGCTTATGAAATACGCGAGTAATGATGCCTTGACTTAATATTGATTTGTTGCCAGCAAATTTGATTTCTCGTATCAAGAGCATATCGAAATGATCTTTCTATAATTTGAAGAATTATATCAAAGGAAAATGAATAAGGATTGGTTAATTTATTTTGTTAGAACACTTTTAAAATCAATTAAATATTTATTGATTAGATTGATTGATTAAATAAGTTAAATGCAGAAAAAATCAATTTCTCCTTTTCGCCATCTGATTGTTACTTGTGACGTCACAGCTTGTGACATCATAGTTCTTGCTACAGCAAACTTGACTCACCAAACATGCATATGCTGATGTTATAACATTGTGTAATTGCCCAGACATTTATAAATATACAACTATTTTCGGTCTTATTCATATTCATATCTAAATGATCATTTCGTTTTCTTTTTTACATTGAAAAATATGTCATTATACTCACTAGTTAAACATTGATATTCCACGTTGTTGCATTGTAATAGTTCTTTTAATTTGATATAACATATTCTAAGAAGTTACTTGTTCCGCGCGATAGTGTCGCAATGCTGATACATATATTCATATATATTTAATTCTAAAGTTTAAAAAGAATAACTAAAACAAATCACTTCTCACAAGTAATAAATGACAAAAAAATCAGTTGATTATTTTTTATATGAATCTCCATGGGAAAATGATAAGAAATCATGAATAGCACTATTTAACGTCTATGTTGATCTCACATAAAACAATATTTAATTTTATCGTTCTTATACAAAAGTTACAACCTTTCACCACGCACTATCCGTCAAGCATTGAACGGGTTTGTTCACTGCAGATATTTATTACAGTACACATGCCATGTATTTTATTAACTACATGATTCAACGAAGGAATGACACGAAATTTAACTTTCTGTTTTGGGAATAAATGCACTAAAACACTTAAGGCATTATCGAATTATCACATTCTAAAACAATTGGAAACTGACACTTTGTTATAGCATGTTATGACGTCATTTTTGCGTAGATATAGAGATGTACGAATGTGTATTTCCATTGCCATCAATTATAAGTTAATCAATAAAATCATTTATTTTGCATTCCTAAGAATAGATAAACATGAAAACTTAGACATTCGATACTGTCATCCTGATTTTTCACAAATGAATATTGACTGAACTTTGATATCAAAATAACAAAATAAATATAAGCGTTTAAAACATGATTCGTGTTGGGGAATTATCTTTTATGTGGCCACGGAATTTTATGCATATAATACACTACATGGTTTTACAGTAAAGGTTATCTCAATTAAATTCATAATGCTATACATTTATAATTAGATGCAATCACCTTTTCGTGACTATAAGTTTTATTAAGTCTGGAATACACAGAGTAAACTAGATAAAAATCATAATTACAAGAAGTCAGAGGCATAGTGTTACTCCAAATAAGAATAATTGGAATGTAATCACCAAACGTACGAAGATGAATTGTCATTGACAAGCTAAATACTTCAGACTGAGGTCAAAAGAGTTACAATACATGTGCTATTATCATTCAGAAGTAATAAAAAAGACACAGAATGTTTTAAAAAAAAATGTGTTTACATAAGTGAAAAATTGAATACGACGTTGCGGTTTTGTAAAATGTTGTCTAGGTGATAAATACAAGATTACAATCCACTGATCATTCTAAAAGTATCAGAAAGCAACACATATCAGCAGCATTATGCTGTAGGAAAATATTTATATTACATATGTACAATGAGAGAGAAAACAAAACAACAATAACGAAAACAACAGCAAATCAGCTTTATATTTAACCATTAACTAATATTAGACAATGTCGTATTTTATAGATATTTCTGTTTTCGTTAAATGAAATTTATGCTACAACGTTGTCATATAGATTTAATATCACATTTGTAAAAGCAACAAATTTCGTGTTAATACATACCACCAAATCTGTCTTTGTTGATATCTCGAAGTGACCACATTGTCAAATGGTTCGCTATCGTGTAAAAGGTCTCTGGAGTTTGAACCTTGTGATCCTCCAGTTGGTCAGATTTTAAAGTTAAGTCCATTCCTCCCAAACGAGAATATGCTGCTTCATCCATTTTATTCGTGTTTTTAATATTATGTCTGTCATTTTCATCATAGTTTTGTTCATTTTCCTCACCGACTTTTCCGTGTCTTTTTTTCCCTGATTGTTTCAAGATGCTATCAATCCCAAAGGAAAGGTGTGAAGAATCATACCTGCATTTTGGAGAGTTATTTTCGTATTTATCCACATCCTCTTCATCTCCACTAGAGGGCGTTGGTAAACTATTTTCCTGTGGCATACCTTGAAATGGTAATCGGTTACTTCTTTCAATATTTAATTTCTCAACACCGACCCGCGCGTATACTTCATTGTGTGTTGCAATGTCTATATCGAATTTTTCTTCTGCCATTTTGACTTCTGCTCTAATGCGCCAAATATCCGGGCTCTGTTTATAGCCTCCTTTTACAGAATGAAGCGTTTCCTCTCGTCGGGTCAATTAATACAGCGGATTGGGAGGAGAAGGGGGAATGATGATGATGATGATATGGCCGAGTCAGACAGTTAAATGCTTTAATTTACCAAATAATGAAAGAAAATGACAAACAGTTGTGTTATAGTGGAGTGTTATCTCAGGCCCACTCCGGGCTTCGGCCACGCCCTGACAAGATTAAGTTCAATAGAAGTCGACAAATAGGACATCTGTTTGCCTTGCCCGTTTAATGATCGATATAGCCCCGTCCAGTCAATCACATTAGGCTAAGCACTTGTAAATTTGGCATTCCCACTGACTATTAAAACCCTTTAAATTACCATGAGATCTCACAGATAGAGTGGCCCTGCCTTTTGCAGTAGTGTTACTCTCTAGTCTCTATCAATCCGGCGGTCGTGAGGCTATTGATCGAGATGACATATCAATTTTATTGCCTTATAATACGCTGGTACAGTTTTAGGTTATAACTCCATCTGATCTGTTCGAGCAGACAATTGAATAGGCAGTATCTCCAAGTTAAATAAACAATTATTAAAAGTGAAATAAATATCACACAGCCCTTGGCCTATACGTCATCGATCTGGCTGCTGACTCGTGGCGGGCCGGAGGGCATCCTTATCGGTAGACTGTGTTGGGTCCCTGTACGTTCCTATGTACGGGAGCCGACACACGCTGACGCCTAAGATGCAAAGATTTCTTTAAGGAGAGTGGCACACGAATCCTTAACACGCATGTTTCGGCGGCTTGATTATGTGATATAGAAAATATATGAGAAAATTAGGGGAAAATTATTGAAAAAGTCTTATCGAATAGATCAAAAACAACTACAGAGGGCGCTGAAGTTATTATTTTCAAAGCCAGGGAAGATTATGGTTTATTACGGGATTTTTTTTTTTTTCAAATTTGACGACTGCATAAATTACAAATATGATATACTTTTTAAGAGCACTGGTGACAATATCAAAACAGAATGAAATTAAAGTATAACAAAGAAAACAGCACATATTTTATCAACTTTAAGGCAACTTTTGGTTAATGACAAGTTAACTATCTTCATTGAAGACAAACAATTTTGATAACTGACCATCGAAACTCGCATCATGAAAGATTATGGTAAGACCCCTTCTACTTAATGATTACGTTTGAATATACCAATAGATAATATGATGTAAAATTGGACCAGAAATAAAGTTGCAAGGAAGGCTTACTGTTTCCTCACAACACATGTTATATCAACCTTTATAAAATCTCTGCCGTTTGGAGAAGAAATTGGTGGTGTTGAGAATTACATACGATAAAACATTCCGGATATATGTCAGCTTGCCCTTGATTAGGGATCACTCAATTCGGATTGTCGGTTTACTGTTGGACGTTTAGGATTGGCAAAATAAATTGTCATAACCTCATCTTCATTTATTTACTTCTTACATATAGACATTACAGGTCGAGTGACCCTAAAAACAATGTACTTCAAACGCCGTCTTATTTGAGCTCCAAATAAAATAGTACTGACTTCATTGTTATATATACTGATGACGACTATACGAATTCCAAGCGTTAAATGAAGTTCAAATGTAACGTCGCTATTGACCACATTATATGAACAACAATATGCTTATCCACCAATATCATAATATTCAAATTAAGTGTATCCTTAATCATTATAATTAGAATGGTTTGATTAAAGTTCTATGAAATTTCCTCGACACAGTCACGCATTCATGATTCAAATCTTATTAAACGAATGACTGAATTGTGTTCATTTCGTTAACTTTCACTTTCTTTTGAAATTTCAGTACAATGCGAGTTTCTGAATTTAACAAATTTATTCAAAGAACAAACAACAATGATAAAAATACGAAATGGTTTTAACTGCAAACTGGTTGTCTTCATTGATGGGTTCTTTCATTTTTTGAATTTTCGAAAGTTTTCGAAGTAATTGTTTGTTAAAAAAACATACAATGCTATTATCTCTCTCTTCGAATAATCCCATTCAAAGCAAGGTAAATATTGGTAGTTTTCCACTCGGAGACTTGCCATGATGCCGCGAATGTCGAATGTTTCACTAAAACAATAGTCTGAATTAAATCCTCTTGACTTTTTTTCGTCAGTCGGAACTGAGGGAACAGCTAAGCATTATGTGCTAGCCCGATTGGAGGTTTAAGTAAAAGCGTTACAGCCCACACTGTAGCTAATGATACTGTCAGTAAGAAATGGTGAAGCCCTTTTCCGACGTATTAAAATTCGGTTGATGCTTTGATAACGAACATCACTGCAACAATTCATACGGAATGCATTCTTTTAAGTACAATTGCAACGACAAATTACCAGGACATAGTTACGTGACATTTGACCTGTTTATGTATAATGACAACATGTTAACCCTCTACTGCTCACTTTTTCATGAGTCAGTCGTAAGAACTATCGTCTTTTAGTTATCTTAGTCAGAGAATAAAGAATATAAAGAATATAATGTTTTGCTTTCGCGGGTGCTAAACGCATAGAAGGATGTGAGAAAAACAAATTATCAAAGAAACCAATTAACAGAAATCTAAGAAAAACAAGTACCTTCCGCTTCATATACACATAACTGGGACAGCAAACATTTTATACAATATAATTTGGGTCACTTGCCAGCATTTATGCGAAGACAATATCCTGGTTTCTTAATAAATTCGTTTTTCGGTGTAATGTTTTAATTTTTTCGTGTACAGATTGTCGTCTGGCAAATGGCGCAAGAAAAATCAACAAGAAAACTAGCTTTCAAATCTCATTTGATTGTGTTGTTGTATATATTCATGTTGACCTAAACTTCAGAGCATATTTTATCTACTATATAGGAAAGTCGTGTTATTCTATGATTCTTGTATTCCATGCTCTTATCACAAAGTATTTTTATCCAACAAGTTTCTTATATTAATGCCTACGACTTCCTAGTCTGTGATATGAAATAAGCCGATTCTTCTGAAATAAGTATATCTCTTGTAGCAATGTCACAAGTGATCAAGGTGACTGGTGAAATATTCTATTATTGCAACGTAAGTGGGAAATGCTGCCATGTGTTATAAGCACTTGTGAAAACGCAACATCCTAATCAACCCACCTAAAACATTATTTCTACTTTGATTTGATTTTGTTGTTTTTCAAAAGGTCTCAGTTTCCCTTAGGAGTCTGATGTAACAGCTGGTTTTTTTTTAGAAGATACTGCTTTTCAATTTTACTTTAGCGTTAAGTCGTTAGGTTTGCCGACTTTGTATGTTTCTTGATTGTACACAGTGGTGTCTTATTCTGAGTTTCAAAACATCTGCGATAAACATTTCTGAAGATTGAAAATGATTTGGTGTTAAGTTCTGTATCAGACAAGCGTTTCTGTTGATTCTAAAGACTAAATATGCGTGTCATTGAACAAAAGTAACAAATCTTGCAAGAATCATGCACTTAAAACTCAGACACCATTTCGCAAAATATTGACGGAATCTTACATTATGTACATATCAAAAAGGAATTTTGTTTTGACACTAAAACGTAAATTCTGTAAATCTGTATAGAAGGTTTTTAATACTTATATAGTTTTCTCTAAGATATTGAAAATGTTTCACAGCCACACAATCTATTAAGCATTATTTGCGAATTCCAAACAGTGGTCATGACCTATCTGGGATTGCAATGTAGCTGGTTTCATGAAAAGATTATCCTTTGATAAAAAGATTGAGATACAATTTGGTTAAATGTCAGGTTTGTCATGCGTTTTCAGTAGCTCTATAAAAAGTTAATGTTGTTAATTGTTTAACATTTTTCACCTTTTTGTAGTATAGAGTCTGTTCTTGTGAGCAGGGTTTTGTTGTTATATCACTGTATGTAAGAAAAGAAGGAAGTAATGTCCGATAAACTCACTCATTTAAAACACAAATTGAGCAAACCTATAAATACCATACTAAGTTTCAAACTTTTGGGAGGGTGAACATATTCATCAGCTAATGTTCTCCAGAAGAAAACTCGGAATGTTTTATGATAATTATCACTTTGGGAAATTATATCATCGCCGATATGATGTGATTTGGGAAGAAACGTAGACGTGGATCTTATCTGTGATATAACAACGTACACCAGTGGATCATAAGATTGAAATATGCAGTCAGAACAAAATCCTACTGTTTTATAGTAATTGTTTAAATTCAGCTTCTTTTTTTTATTTCAGCACATTCTAATGACGTCAGTGTCGTTGGCAAATGAGATCAAACAGATGGCAAATAAAAAACAACAAATACCGACTTGTTAACATAATCTGAATAATTCAAACAGAAGTTCGATGGAAATGTGGAAAATGAACGAAGGAAAATTAACAAGGGGACCTCTGAAACAGTACAAGGCAAATAAAACCACGTGTTAGCGCAGGTGAAGCGCCTCTTGCTTCATGAAGGCCTCAGTCTGTAAATCTAACTCAATCCCCATGATCTTCATGAATCGGTTGCTCTAGAAACCGTGTATTGTGAGTTTATAAGTTGTCGACATCTACCTCGATTATCTAACGAAACATACAAAAAATATTACCTTCTCTAGTACAATCAACAATAAGATACCGTAGCAGTAGAGACAAATGAAAAATTGAACTACATCGTCAAGCAGTTTTATTATATAACCATTGGTTATTCTTTCAGAGTATTCATATTATAGTGAAAATCAACATGTCTACCATGGTTGTCACTCATTACGATTATATATGACGTCAATATGAACAAAATAAAACTATTTCACGTATGTCATATGGTTTCGTGACAAGACCATATTACACGGTATATCAGTACAGTGACGTGATCAATACGAACGTTCTTTGGCTTCATCAATAATCTTTATAAATTCTCATAATTAGAGTTTATGTTAAAGTTTGAACTCCTGAACGATCATGAAAGCTAAGTTTA